AAACTCCTCCACCTGAGTCTCATCTCAGGCTCCCAGCAACATGGCACTATAAGAATCTCGGCCATTTTGCTGAAGTTCTTAAAGTCCAGTGGAAACAGGTGACACAAATTAAGTCTTTTCTCTGAAGAGGGGGCTCCTACCTAGTATGAGTTAGTGTGTGTTGAAAGAGATAGCATTTGGATTTACTCAAGAAAGACCAAGAACAGGAACCAGCAGGTAGCATAATGGCTATGTCGCTGGACTCCCACATAGTCGACTGCGGTTCGCATCCTGGACCCGGTGGCTTAAAACTCATGCCAGGCGCGTGTGCGTGCGTGCCCAAGATCCCGAGAGGAGAATGGAGAAGGGATTGTGGTGTGACCATCCCCCCCGGGGGGTGATTTCTCACTTTCTGTCTCTCTGTCTCTCCCAGTCTGTCTGCGAGCGCACACGCCCTATAGCGAAAACCTCTCCAAAAAAAAGAAAGACCAAGAACAATGGGGTGGCATTCCAGGGAGACTCCTGGAGCTATTACAGGACCTGTGGTTTAAGGGCTGTGCTGAAATCCATGGTTGCATGTCCAGGGGAGGAAAGATGAGCCAGAGTCATGAGTGAGGAGACTGTGCTTCCACCAGGAGTAGCATGCTGGCACCGATAAGGATGGTGGTAGGCGTTAATGAAACCTTCCTGCAGGCAAAGTGCTCTTCCTTGTGAGATGACCAAGATGAAGGCTCTTTCTCTGGAAAAGTTCAAGGCCTGTACAGAGTGCAAACAGCCTATGCATGTCTCGATACAGGTGTCCAGAGTGAGGACAATATTATTTAAAGACTAGTGCACTTTCTTCTTGAACTCTGGCAGTGGTCATGAGAGAAACCACAGAGACTTAATCCCAGTGACACATGGATAACTACTTCTAAGAACCAATGGCAGTACCACGAGGTAGCTTGGGAAGCCCTATCTCCCTCTCTATCTCAGATAGGTGCAACTGACATCTCCATCTGATGTAATGTGCTACATGCAGGCGCAGCAGTAAAACATTCTTGGGGGCAGTCCCACATAGCGTTCTCAGTTCAAGTCCAGAGACTTCCCCGGGAACACATGTGCCCATGATTTGGGTCAGCTGAGGCTGGAGGTGGAAGAGGGCATCAAGACCCATTGGGGGTTCTCGCTCTATCTTTTTCTCTCTCCCTCTCTATCTTCTTCACTCATGAAAAAAAATAAAACTTAACAAACAAAAGTGCTCCACAAGGCCCCTCAATTCCCCTTTCCCACCTGAAGGTCACTCTTAAGGTTCCTTATATCAAAATGCACGAGCCACAAAGAGTAGGTAACACTCAACTGGATGGGTCTGAGAAGTATTTCATGATGGTTTTAAAAAGTCTTTAAAAAGTCTTTTTACAAGCAAATTGAGAAATAGTGATTGACTGGTTCAAAAAAATAATTGGAATAACAATAATAACGAACAGGAAAAACAATGAAAAGATATTGAATGATGAAGTGGGGATTTTAACATCTCGGTATTCACTGACATGCATGGCATTCCCTTTTGAAAAAGCAATGTAATACACTGTAAAGTTATATGCAATTCAATGTAATATAAACAAGATCATGATGATAAGAAATAAAAAAAATAAATAAAAAAGTAAAAACAACAACAACAAAAAGAGTAGGTAACGTCGCTATACCCTTCTTTCACACAAACGGTGGTCAAGGCTAAAAATACATGATTTAAAGAGGTTTATATGTGTTCACTGCAAGCAGCACCACGTGAGTGCTGATGGAGGGAACGAGGATTTCTTATAAATGTACAGAACAATCGGGTCGGTCTGGAAAGAGAAAATGCAATGAAGTCGTCAGGGTTGCTCTGAGTGCTTAGCTCAGACCTGCTGCTCATGCAGGGATGTAATGGCTCAAGGTGCAGGACTGATCCTGACTGAATCACGATCTTCCTTCCCTGAGCGAGACAAAGGATGGCAACGCTTTCTGCCTTTGGTGCCTCTGCTAAGGTGCATGTCTTTTTCTTCAAGGGACCATAGGCATGTCCTAGCTGATTTGAAATAAGCACCCTTTTGGAAATATTTCGTGGGTGAAGACAAGGGCCTGCTTGCTAAGGGGTCTCCAGCTTCAGTTCAAATTTGGCAGCTGCCCAACGACATCTCTGATCTCCAAATAATCAGTCACTGGGAAAACGGCACCCTGGCGAGTTTCGAGGTGATTAGTTATTGCTTGGCATGTCTCAGCAGTTTGCATCTGGGATAGCTAATCTGGGCCTGGGATCTGGAAAAAAGCTGTTCATCTAAATTACTCTAATCCGCAGGTAGATTCTGCTTATCCTGCTTCTCTCCCTTTGATCCATCTTCTGTTTCCATAGCAGCTAAAACCTCAGTAAAATGGAAGCATCTGGCCCAGGCTCAGGTAAAAGTCCCCTGGGGAAATGAAGCTGTTCGATGGCCACAGAAGGGGAACAGGGACTCTCAGACCAAACAGCACGAACATCAGCAAGATGAACGAGGCTCCAATGTCCAGGAGAGACGGCAAGTAATTACAAGGAAGAGAGAGAGACAGCGAGGGTGCAGAGAAGAGTGAAATTTGAACAGAAATACTCAGGAAGCCATGAGAAAAAGGAAACGGGTAGAACAAAAACAGCATTGGGCAGGTATAGGCATAAAGGGGCAAAGAAAAAGGATGTGTGCAATGAAAAGGGAAGGGACACTCAAAAAAGGACAAAGAGCTGAGCAGCCGGAGGAGGGAATTAAGAAAGACATCAAAGAGGAGACAGAGCCTCTTGGCATCTAGCAAAGGAAGTCTACCCCAATGATAATCATTCTGCAGAGACTAAAGGCACATTCTGGCCAGGCATCAATAGCACCAGGGACCACGCAGCAGGCTGTGGTGAATGGTGGGTGCCATAGATGGAAGCCTGTCCATTCCCATGGCCCCTCCTTCAGAAGTGCCCTGGGCCATTCTCCATTACTAATGCACAGCTGAAGCCCACTGCTAGATTCTGAGCTAGTCCACACATAAGGGCATTTAAAATGGAGAGGTTGGCAAAGATGTGAGTAGTTCTCACTGATTCTTCAGTTCATAGTGTTAGTGTCAAGAATGATGACATATAGTGACTATGTCACCCAACTCCCATGTAGTTGACCATGGTTCAAGTCCCGGACCCGGTGACTTAAACTCACGTCGGGCGTGTGTGTGTGCATGCCCAAGATCCCAAGAGGAAAATAGAAGAGAAGGGATTGTGGTGTGACCATCCCCTCTGGGGGGCGATTTCTCACTTTCTGACTCTCTGTCTTTCTGGTGAGCGCACGCACCCTATAGAAAAAACCTCTCCAAAAAAAACCAAAACCAAAAAAGAACGGTGACATGAGACACCTCAGAATCCAGGCCAAACACACGGAACACTTCACACCTTCTCTGAGAACATCTATCAGGGCAAGCTGTCACTGTCTGAGAGGAGGAATTCAGTATTGGAGGCCGATTCAGAGTCCTACCCTGATTTTTAAAAATAATTTTAGTATAGTAGACACTGTCTCACACTGCCACCCTCAGGAGTGGCAGGCTTACATACCAGTTGACAGATGTGCTCCTAATGGACAGACAGTTCTCAACCATCTCTTTGTCCCATACAAAGAGAGATGATCAGCCTAAAGAGACAGGGGACACTTTCTCAGAACAGCCTAAATTCGGCAACTAACTGTTGCACTGGTAAAGGACCAGCCCCATCACCATCAAAGGGAACATTCTGAGTGCTCATCTTAGCTTCAGAACTCCCCTAGTGTCAGTGGAGATGTTCTACTGGATTGCATCAGTTAGCTTCTCCCCAAGCCCTGCCCTGACCTGCGCTGCCCTTCAAGAGCGCCCCACATAAACTTCGTTCATACCAGTCACTTTCTCAGGGTTGGCTTTGGGCATATAAACCTGCAACAAGCCAACCAGCACCACTATGGCTCCTTTAGAATCCTTAACCTGCACTGTCTGCAGTACACACTTCATCCATCCGTGCATGCACACACATGTGTGCATACATAATCATGCACATAGATTTCACAATGACCAGCAATAAGCAACAGAATTAAGGACCTGTATTCGTGACTCGGCTTAAATGTCACCATTTCAAAGGCCTTCTCTGACCAAACCCCTTGTCATTTTAGCAATATGTGCTACTCTGCTCTAACACCCTTATGACCTATCACCACCTGTTATACTGTGTAGTTTGTTTTTTTTTCCTCATCTGTCTCAGGAGAACATGAGTCCGTAAGAGCAGGTACTTGCCTGTCTCAGTTCATTGCTGGATCTCTCGGTGCCTAGAAGAGAGCCTGGACTACAGCAGGCACTCAACAAATATTTAAGACTAAATGAAATAATTCCCCGTTCCTCGATCCCAGATAAAAGGTGACTTAATGAAAAATAACACCTTTCTAAAATTCTAAGGTTTTAATGTTCAGTCTGGGAAAGCGCAGAACAACACTCAGTCTGGTCTACAAAACATCTGCACATTGAGACAAAATGGATTTTGTAAATCCATTGGCGTTAAGTTATACGTGTTATCTAGGGTTAATGACAGTAAAACAACAACAAAACCACAAAAACAACTAATCACCAGGTTCTTGGCAATGCTGAAACAGCACAGACTTGGACATTTCCCTTTTAGAAATATGGCCATTTAAAGCATTCACTCATCATTCTGTTTGTGTTTTCTGTTTCTTAAAACAATCAGCTGAAAATGCCACCAAAGAGCTATCCATCATCCAACTTGACATGTAACATTTACCCAGAATATCTCGACACCTCTTCACCCAGAGGCAATGGGAGTAATATCCAAGGGACTGGATAGAGGCTCAGATAGGACTCCTGACATCTTGAAGGCTATGCCTGTCTTACAGAAACATGGCACTGCTAGGCAGAGCCATTTGTATGTTATACTGACTACCAAAAACATAGAACTTCTTAGACTAAGTAAGCTCCTACCCATGGCCAATGATTCTCCCATTTCCTCTCCAAACCATCTCTCTTACCTTTGGGAGAGATGTGTCTCCAGGTAACTGTAGGCTCTGGTCTACCCGTTGCTATGCAGGTGAGACTGACATTGTTGCCTTCATTAATGGAGATATCTGAAGAAATTTCTACAATTTTGGGAGATACTGTGGAGACAAAAGAGGTAGAAGGAAAATAAAAATCCTGAAGAAACATTTCCTTGTTGTTTTAAAATGGTAGTTGGCACAATAGCCCAGAGACTGAGAAATATGGATGACAGTAGTTAATGATGAGGAATTAGAGATACCTTAAACATGAAAAATGTCTTACCTTGAATTTAGCTTCCATTTCCTTCTATTTAAACACCAAGTCAGGAAGTCTGAATGGGAATGAATTCCTCTGCAATGCTGCAGTAACTGTTCTATCCTCCACCCTCTTCCCATCTCCACTCTCGCCCCCACCCACCTCCGACACATACCCACGAGTCATCTTCCACACTGCATTCCGAGATATCTTTATGAAAGGCAATGCTGATCATATCTCTACCTAAACAGCTCCAACTGCTTCCTACTGTCTACCCAGCCATACCCAATCTCTTGATCCTGGCATGCTAGGCCATTCACATCAAGTACGAGCCTTTTCCACTGACATGCCACGATTTCATCTCTACTTACCCCATCATCATTTCCAACACATCATGCCTTTTCTGGTCATCACACATCTGTATAAATATTGTTCCTATTTCCTTCCTGGAAAACTCTTAGTCATCCTTTAAGGCCCAAATAAAATGCCACTTCCTTTGTTGCAATCTTCCTTATGTCTACACCTCCCTGCCCTCCTTACCAACTACTACTAACTGCTACCTCTTCAGCCGTGTCCCCAGAGCACTTTACACACACCTAATGGGGAACTGTAAAGAATATCAGTTGGCCATAATACACTTGGTGTTTCTCTCTCTGTCCCTTAAGTTATCTCATTCCCCCATGAAGGGGGAGGTTCATTGTAATGTGCAAAGGTGAGGGCAGGACCTCTTTATTTCAGACCTTTATTTTGGAGCCAGGCCTTCCTCAGGAAGCCTATGTTCTGTTGTGCTCATCCTTAAGCCTGCTTTCCAGGAGCAGCAGCCACAGGGATGGGGCAGGTCCTGCAGTGCAGCCACTGCATGCACATGCTGTCTCATCCTGGGGCCCTGCTGCAGCACCTCACTGTCACTGCACGTCTAAGTGTCCAGTGTCAGCTTTCCCACTAGCTCACGTGGCATTTACTCCTCTGTGAGGCTGCTCCTTTGCCTTATCTGTCAAATGGTTACAATTCAAGTGGCTAAACGAGGGGTGCCATTAACTGAGTCCCCAATTGTAGACTCTTATCCCACTTGGTATCCTATGGTTACTTTCTTAGTCTCACTCACTCATTAGGACACTGAGACATCGCGTGATGTCTTACTCATATTTCTATCCACAGAAAGAGCTCACAAATATTTATAGAATGAGTTATAATGGTTAGTCAAGAGAACCAACTTCCTGACCTGACATACAAGCACAACATCAGAGTTGGAGCATTAGCATATGCTATTTCTGTCCCGCCAACACTAGTTTGACATCTTGGTTCTTGGCAAATTAAGGTACCCCTCCATCCAGCACTGTTGTTTCTTCATGTTACATTCTTGCCTTGAGTAAGCGTTCCTCAGAGCTGTCACACTGTGCAATTCCAGAGCATCTCTTCTACCTGGTACACAATGTGATTGTACCTCCTAGGGGACCCCAGGGAAGCTGCACGATGACTTTACACCTTGCCATGAGACACTCACACAAAAGTCAGATGGTGTAGACATTTCTTTTTATTTTTTTAAATTATTTTTAATTATGTTTTCATTTCATTTTCTTTTATATATTAAATAACATTATTATTTGTCTTACAAAATGGATATTTCAACAGGTGAATATTTCTCCCTAGTACAGTTGATAAAACTACAAAATATCTTCAACAGATAATACCACATTTCTTTGTGACATTTCAATGCAGAGCTTTCCTCTACTTGAACATCCCTCATTCATTCCTAGTCATATTAGATCTTTTCCTCTATGAAAAGGGGCCTACTATGAAAGTATCCTTCTCAGTCATCTTTCCTCTTCCTCCTTTTGCAACGTTATCTTCTACTCCTGTCCTGCTCTCCACCCAGCTGGGAGCACTTTTCACTAATCTCCTTATCCCCAAGTCACTGTGGCTGATTTCAGTACTCAGACCCTTCTCTCTGATTGTCCATACCTACAGGAATTGATCAAGGCCTGGCTGAACTATCATCCCTTCCATAATGCCTTCAAGGTGATCCCTAAGAGCAGATGACCTTTCCTTCCTGGGGAATCCCACAGCCCTGCAGCACATCCTTCACGGCATTTACAGTAAACTCTCTTCTGTTACACACGTCTCACCTTTCCTCCTGGGCTATAGAACTGAATATAACACATTAAGCAAGAGTCTTCCTCATATTTTTATTTTATCCTGGCCTGAAGTGAATATCTTGTACAGAATAAGTACCACTTCATCATTGTTAGATTTAAATTCATATCGAGCTTTAATAGAGAGACAATGTATGTGTGTGTGTCTTTTTTTGTGTGTGTTTGCGTGTGTATGTACACATGCTTGCACTCTCATGGGTATTTGGTGGGGCAGATAATGGAGGGTGGATGTGGTGAGGTTTAGAGAGAGACCGCTGGCTCTACCATCTGGGACTTTAAAGGTATAACATTGCAATTTATGGTTCCATCGGTTTAAAAGCCAGATTGGGCCTTCTAAGACAGGAAGGTAATTGATGAATTAATGACTGAGCATTTCATTTGCTGACTGCCTGAAAGGCAC